AACCTCTTATATGGTCGATAAAAAGATTGAATGCATATTTAAATTTGCTCCCTGGATAACACTAGGACATTTGCGATGTATAAATTGCACGAAAACGTAAGAATTATTGATTATTCACCACCTGCTGCTGAACCCTGGTATATATTGAGAGCATTGAGAACCGCTGTTTTTTATTCCGTGTACACCTACCTTTGTCATTTATCGCTAGGCAAATAACATGCTTTGATATAGGACGGGTGAATGACCAGCAGGTCAATCATCCATCCTTCCCCCAAAAGGTTGGTTAAATGACAATGTTGTTGATGGAGATGATGTGTATGCCCTCGGTATTCAAATACAGCAGCAAATTTTAATGCTATGCTTCTATTGACTAAAGTACCGCACACAGATTTTTCTTAAAAGTTGACTGAAAAGCTGCCCAAGTGGGGAGCTATTTGTTGTGTGACCCTACAACTGGTGCACACTGAAGTCACAACTGGTGTACATGGGCTATTTTGGGGTTACAAGCACGCACCTCTGTAGATGCAATTTTGATACCATTCCAGGGCTACATTTGGTGCACACAAATGTGACATAACAGGAATATCACACAAATGCACCAACTGTAACCTTGGTGTAACTTATTTGTTTACAAATGTGACACTGAGTAATCCTGGTGCTGTGAACGCACAATTGGTGCACATTATGGATATGCATGTGCAAAAGAAGAACTTTGGGTACACTTCAGGTGCACAGCAAGGTCACTGTGTAGAATTACAGACATATCCCCAATGTGCACCAATTTCCCCATTTGGGATGGGTACGCCTGTTGTTGGGCCACCAGATGCCGCTGTGCAACCAAAGCAGCAAGCATAGACATGACCCCCAAATGCATAGCAAAGGAAGTGTGCAGCAGGAAGTCCCTGTTGTACAGCTGGTTTTCCATACTTGAAGGAGAACTGGTGGCAAGGGATGAACCTGTTAGAGCTCAGGCTTGGACAAACAATGGACAAGTTTAAAACATTCTATTCTACTCTCTGGTTACAATCAGACCTAAGCTCTCAAAGACAACAATGTGTTGTGTGTGTGCTGTTTTGTGTGAAGAGGCTTTTGTAGAGATTGTTGAATCCTTGCCCAAATTGCCTGCGTTTGGTTCATTTCTGTGTGTTATCTTGTTTGTACATTAAATTACCTTTTTGAAGGACCCCCTCTAAGAGGAATAACAGCCGATTCCTGCCTCAACTTATTTTCCCTTCATTTCAAATATTCTTTGTTGGCCATAACCCGACACCTGTTATGCACATAGATTATTTTGTAAATTGCTACAACTATATGGGTGTGATTCATATTTAAATACCTGCAGGTGAAAATAATGAGCATCAAATTTTGTTTGTACACACACACTGTCAACATAATTTGTCAGTTCATTCAGTGGTAAGATTATGTTATTTCAAATCCTAATTTGCCAAAGAAAAATTGAATAAGGGACTCCTATATGCACATTCAGCACGGATGGCTACAATATAATAAACACAAAAACATCGTTATTGCCCGGCAGGAAGATTATTTTTTAAATGCTGCAATTAAATTTAACCTTCTCTAAATATGAAGCTGCCGAAGAAATGACTGCTGCATTTCGAGTGCAGCAAAGGATTTTGTAACTCTTGGAATATATTCTGCAAACGTCGGCATCTTCCTGATGTACGTGCTTTCGACTCCTGAAGATAATTTCATTCGAACCAATTGTGGTGGAGAATTTCCTGACAGAAACTTTTCTGAGATTCAAGAGACTCGCATTCTTCGGAAAACTAAACTGAAGCAACTAAACTGGATTTGAATGCGGAAGGATTAATCTATTTAAACCGTCTCGTTCGTCGAAAACAGGTCCAGTTACTCATGGAATCACTCATCAACTTAAAATTCACAAGGTTATGTCTTTGAACATTTTGAATCATCAAGGACAGATAATTAATATTTAATAGAGAGAAAAGATTTCTTTTAGAAAGACCCTGATTTTCAAACAACAAATTAGAAAATCTGTATTGTTCTGGTTCAAAATGTAAAAGTGTGCCATACATTATTCTAATGAGAACTGAAACCTTCCCTAAAAAAAAAAAATGCTTCGATGAGTAACTACCATTTGCATTTCAACTACAGTATTGCATGTTCATCTTATATACTTCCTTACATTTGTTAAAAATAAAATTTGCTCCTCTCCTAAAACAAATGAGTCACAATTGACATTGTTTCCTTGTTTTAACAAGTATCTTTTTAAGATAATGGTTAAAACAACAACGAAATTTCAATTTTCAGCAGGTTTGACAAATGTTTAGCTCTCTGTGACATGAGCGGAGAACCGTATATACCTGTAAAATTTTGACTTTTCACCGGGCAGTAAATTGAAAATGTTCTTTAATAATCTGAAAAAATTACAAAACCTTAAAAACATCATGACCTATATCATGAATTTATTTTTTACGTCATACCTACTCTAGAAATAACCAAGGTCCCACCCAAGTCAGACAACCCTGATATTCATGCCTCATAAAATGAACCACCTCCCGAAATAAATTAAATTAAATGCATAAATACGACGGATGGACAAACGCTCTCTTGCAAAAATGTTTCTGAACGAAATTGTCGTGCAATTTGGTCAGCATCCCAACGAGGTATGCAGACTGTATTTATCCTCTCATATCCCGTACGTATCCTTCAAAAACCCCCTCTCCAGGAAGACTGCTGCTCTCGTCTCGTCTCGTCTCGTCTGGTCTCGGGTTCCATTTGATTATCGAATGTGCGGGTGAGCAAACTTCCGTTTATCCCGTCAGCGAGAAAGAGCAAAAAAAAAAACATTAATGTCTGTGTCCTGAGCGACGGATCTTATCCGCTCTGCTGATTCCGACCTCCCCATCCTGTTGCTACCCCAGCGGACGAAATCCGTGATGCACGTAAACGGTGGCTTCCCTGAGAAAATCCGATCCCTTGGAGACCAGAGAAGGGTTTCACTCCAACTTTTTGTTTCGACTGACTGATATTCCTATAATGTAGGCTTAACTTGGAGGAAAATTGGAAAGTATTACCCAATTTCAACGTACTTTAGGGATTACAAGTTTCCGCGTGGACTCGTTTTCGGGGCAGACTTGGAATGATCTGAACTCGCCAGGGATTTTCTAAAACATGTTTCTCATGTTCACTAATTCCAAGATGCTACGAAAGACCTTCTCAATGTCATCAACAAGAAATTGTACACACTTCTTAGCCCTTTTGATACATGTGTTGAAACCAGACTTGATAAGTTCAGTTGTTGAATTTTGAAGCTTCCCCAGAACAGCTTAGCAATAAGCTGATCCGAGCGGAACCGTGTAACTCCTCGAATGAGGTGAAGAATAAAGAAAAGAAAAAAAACTGGTATGGGGAAAAAATCCTTGAAATCGAATTGCCCTCAAAGTTAGGTTTAATCCTACGATATTTTGTCAGCAGTAGTCGATTTATTAGCAGACTAATGTGTGACTTTTTCAGAACCATCAGCATAAACAAATTAAGTAGAGTAGCTTTTAAGGATGGAAACTTGTTTTTCGAATCAAATCGATGGGGTAAACGAACATTTCGCGATGTGACAAAGAATCCAAGTAAAAGTCACCGAAAGCACCTGCATTAAGAATATTTCCACAAAAAATGGATGTAATTATTCTTCTCTGCTGTTGATGAAAGTGGAACCCAGTTGGTTTCAGGGCTTCAAAATATGGAAAACCCGCCGTTAAATTAAAAATATGTTTTCATAATCTTTTCGTAAAAGTTATCCGTTCACGTGATGGCAGCTCTAAAAAAAACGGAAATAAATCAGACTGGATCACTCGCAGCCATTTATCCACTTGAATTGATAAAATGATGCATAAAAATTAAGGAAAATTAACCCCTTGTTTTTCATCATCTTCATTGTCATCAATTCTCGACTCGTCAGATTCTCGGCGGTTTTTTTGCAGCTTTTTCTGCTCCCCAGATTTTTCTTTGGTCATCAATTTCGATTTCTTCGAATCCCTCCCATTCATGGCATCACTGATGCTGATGCTGTCATCATCCGCATCCACGTATTTAATGACCTGCAGTTTGGCCACGTCGGCCGCGGTCGCAACTCGTCGAACTTTGGTCGTCATGGTGTTTCCATGTAGTCTTTGCTGCAGCTGCTGGTGACTTTCTTCGGGAGATTGCTTCATATGATGTCCGTCAATGGTTTCCGGGGAAATGGAAGGAATCCCAGCTGGATGAACGCGACCATCGTCAATGACGTCGTAATTAGTCTCGTCAAGAAGAAAGCTCCACTCTTGCTCCAGCTCGGACGGCATGGCTAGTTGTGAGGGATCAATCTCTTTTCTCTGGCTGTACACTTTTGCGTCCTCGAAGCTCCTTTGGAAATATGTATATATATTCAAATGATATTCAAAAGTTGATGAGTAAAAAAGAAAAGAAAAGAAGAGGGAATAGATCCCGTTTCTGCCCACGCTTGAAACAGCACCTTTACAGAGTCAATTTTTTACCTCCCGTCACATAGGTGTCGCTTGAACGTTTTAAAAAGCTGTTTCTGTAAGAAACATTGTCTGCTTTAAAAATTGAATCAATTGGTACTTTCCTGTTATCTCTGTACCTACTTTCCTGTTATCTCTGTAGCTTCCCTCTGACCAATTTAATCTGACCTAACCTAACTTCACCTAACTGCCTCCCAAAATCAGTTTCTGCTTTCTTTGGGTTTCTGCTGAAACTGATTTTGGGAGGCAGTTAGGCAAAGTTAGGTTAGATCAGGTTATGTTAATTAAAAGATATTTGTGACCAACATAACCTGACCTAATCTAACTTTTCCTAACCGCCTCCCAAAATCAGTTTAAGCAGAATGCGGAAAAATAAAATTCACAGTTTCTGGTATATAGGTCCTCATGATTATGAACTTGTCCTAAAGATTTGTCTGGATGGTAGTGCAGTCTAGGAATGAGGTACAGAGATAACAGGAAAGTACCCATCAATCTATGCTTTTCAACTCATTAATGGGAACATTTTGGACATTAAGGAATTGAATTGAACAGCAAGCTTTATTTTCTGCTTTTTAGCATTCACAAGGTTCAAGCAACGTTCCAACATCAAAACTTCTCTTTCCTTCCCTTCTTCACCCACATTCATCCAAACACATTCCATCACATTAGAATGGAAAACAGAAGTATTAAGCTGCACATGGATATTTAAAAGAAAAGAAAACACATCCCAAAATGTACAATTGCACAACTGATGTAAATAGATACACTTTATTCTGTTCCCTGATAACAACGACAAAATTTCAGTACGTGTATTGAGCATTGCAGCATAAGGCAATTAATGAGCCCAAATTAAAGCACAAAGTGTTCTGCCTGATGCCCCCACATTAGGTTTAGTTGATTAAACAATTTAGAGATAATCTTTGATGAGAAATCAAGTAAGGTTGACAGAGCATTGAACAAAAATTTATTAGAAGAGGTGAGCCAAGCAACACTTTTATCACGATTCTCACCAGCTCAACAGTCTATTATTGCCAATTAACAGATAAAATAACGAAAATTATATAAAAAACAAGGAATGCTTCGAAAATTTAACAAATTGTTGAATATTGCAACCAAAATACCAAGAAAAAAGTTGGAACCCCACCCCCCGAAGAAATCTTTGTGCTTCGCAACAGCGAGGGATTTATCCTCAGTATCTCAGTACAGTACATGCAAGAATGAGATTTTGCGGATATCATCTGCAGACTCTCATGATTGATCTCAAAAGCAATTCCAGATCACAGTGCAATCCTTATATAAGCCAAAAAGTGATTGATTGGGGATTTTCGAACAAGCGAATAATGTCTAGCTTTCGTCCCCTTTTCAATTCTCCCTGAGCGCATTATTATAATGAAAATGAATAAGCTGTCGTGTGCTGTCAGAAATGCATTCGGGATTCAGGGAAACTGTGTCGACTGGTATTGTGTAGGGACATTAAAAAGGAACAATTTCTAACCTTTTGCCCAAGTAGTGCATGATGACAAACGGAAGAAAGATTTGAATCATCCTTTGGATAGTGTTGCGAATTGAGAGTCCATCACGCTGTTGACCAATGCCTCCTTCGCTGTTTCCTGGCAACATGATGATGGATCAGTTTTACTGCTTAATTTGCATCGAAATAAAAGCCTTGTGAAAGTTTAAGAAATTTATGGAGGAGTTAAGCTGCAGACGAGCATTATTACAATGGTCGTGAGAAATCTCTCTTTGGAATAGATAGATAAGGGAGGAAATATTTTTGATGCCCCAAAAACGAAAGTTATGGAAATTTAACCAACAATGATTCAACGAAATCACTTCGGTGTCTTAAGTGAGGTGATCGGATCTTCCAGAAAATTAAATTCTTCCGAGGAATTATTTCAAGTAAAAATAATTGGAAACGGAATTTATTAAAATACTTTGCTTAAGTCGTTCTCGTCCGAGTCCTTGTATCCGACAAACAGCTGTTCAAATTTTCTGCATTGTATTTTTTTAGGGTATTTTTTCATCATAGTAAATTTATTTATGTGCACCAAATTCTGGAGCGAGTCTTTCTTTTAGAAAAAGAGAGCCTCTTCAGTACGTGTTAAAACATTCGCTTCTTTGAAATATCAATATTGACCACAGAAAATTAATTTAGGATGTACAGCACAAATGTACAATACATCCCACCAGGAAACACTTCGGTATAGTGATGTACATTAAAATTTCATGTGTGTACTTTTGTTGTTTTTGTGGAGAGAAAACCTCCCGGAGACATTTTTCAAAATTCTTCTTTAAAGCTTGTTAAGAATAAAAATGCAGGATATTTTAAATTGTTTAACTTGAAAGTTTCTTTCCCGAATCCTTGGCATCTGATTTTCCCATTCATTGAATATATGAAACCCCAACATTTTACAAAAAAGCAAAGTGACATTTTGAACGACCGAACGTTCCCCACCACGCGATTTAAGAAAGTTCATGTTCCCATTAATTTCAAGTTCCACCAATTCCTGATGAAATTCCAAAAGCAAATCCCGGGCTTTTATAAATATTAAACGAGCGTGATCATGGCATATTTAGGAAAGAATCTAGTTTTTCAGGTCGTCGTGAGGCTTTATCCGGAATCTTCAAAACTTTTTCCCATTCTAATAACTTTCAGAAGTATGCCAACTTCTGAACCTTTTTAATATACAGTATATATATTGCTACTGGTGAACTTGCGCATCTCCAGGCATTTGCAAAATACTTTTTGTACATTCGTGTGATGCTCTAAAGATATTATAAGTTGGCAGACATGCGATAACTTCCGTGAAAGCGCTGTTGCTATAGGTCAGCAAAGCCTAGGACAACGAAATATCGTTTTCGCCGTGGAATGAATCTTCATTTCGAGAAAAAAAATATAAAATTGAATTATGATTCATAAATCGTGAAGATTTGAATCGAATGTTTGAAAAACACGTCGCAAACATGTGTGGGGTGTTTCTCAATCATCCCGAATCGTTTTCGCCGTGGAATGAATCTTCATTTCGAGAAAAAAAAGATAAAATTGATTTATGATTCATAAATCGTGAAGATTTGAATCGAATATTTGAAAAACACGTCGCAAACATGTGTGGGATGTTTTTCAATCATCCCGAATCGCTTTATGCCTCAAATCCTGTCCCTGAAAATCAATGCTTAATGAATCAGTAAAAATCTGTTGCCACTCAAACTTTCCTATTAATGTGGTTTTTTCAATTATCCCGAATATCTTCTTGCCTTAAATCGTGTCCCTGAAAATCGGTGCTTTGTGACTGAGTAAAAATATTTTGCCACTCAAATTTTCGATTAAAATCGAAAATACACGTCGAAAACATGTGGTTATTTTTTTCAATTATTCCGAATCACTCTATGCCCCAAATCCTTTAAATGGAAATCAGTGAAATCAGACTCAGTGAAAATCTTTCGCCGTCCAAATTATCGATTAAAATCAAAACTTTGAAAAACACGTCGCAAACATTTTTTTTCAAATTATCCCGAACCTCTTCATATGCCTCAAATCCTGTGACGGGAAATCATTGCTTTGTGACTGTTGCCATGATTGCAACTGATTTCAAGTGCATGACTGACATAGCAACAGATTCCAGCTGCCAAAGTCAAAGAAATGTAGCACTTGTGCACCTGTTACCCGAATTATTCAGAACGCCAAAGAATTAAATCCGCAACAATCCAAGAAAAGAACGCATTTCCAAAGCAGGGAAACGAATTTCTGCGTAGGTTACCGTATATACGAGGGTTCTAACAAAAGTTCTCGGAATGAAAATGAAAATGGCGTCTAATGGAGCTGAAAAAAGTATTCTTTTGGGGAAACATATTCTTTGGCACCAAAACACAGCCCTGTTTGACAATTTTTTTAATGTTTTGCAAAATTCACCCTGGCAGAGTTTTGCTATCCACTCAACAGATGGGGCACCCTATCCTGCAGTTTTGTTGTTGTTGTTGTTGTTGTAGCCCAGCTTTCCCCTCAGAATTCTTGAAATCAATGTGGCATTAATACCAAGGGTTGCCTCCAGGTCTTCAAATGTAATTCCGCCATTTTCATCGACAGCCGCCTTCACAGCCGCCAAAGTGGCGGCCAATGTGGTGACTGTGAAGGCGGCTTTTGATGAAAATGGCAGAATTAAATTTGAAGACCTGGAGGCAACCCTTGGTATTAATGCCACATTGATTTCAAGAATTCGGAGGGGAAAGCTGGGCTAAAAAAAAACTGCAGGAAGGGCGCCTCATCTGTTGAGCGGATAGCAAAACTCTGCCAGGGTGAATTTTGCAAAACACAAAAAAATTTGTCAGACAGGGCTAATTTTTTTGTGTGCCAAAGAATATGTTTCCCCTAAAGAATAATTTTTTTCAGCTCAGTTAGACGCCATTTTCATTTTCATTCCGAGAACTTTTGTTAGAACCCTCGTATATAGTGCGTCACTTGGATCTCCGACGCCAGTTTACCCATTGGCAAATTTTCCAGGCCCTGGAACCCAAGTTTTCCAGGACTCCATCAAGTTCATAATGCGCTAAAATTACTCCAGTCAGTATATAAGCAGTTGAACATCAAATCCGGACGAGGAAACATTTTCCGGAAACTTCTGCAGTTGACTTCTTCCACGAACTATATAAAAGGCTTACACTGCATGAATAAGGTGCAAAAATAAAATAAGGGTTTGGAAAACCTTGCATTATATATACAGTATCAGAATTCGCAAATATGTGTACAGTGTCATGATCTCACTTGACATAAATAAAAACTTGTACAATAATGGACTTGAGAAGAAGTGTTTCTCCAATTGCTTTTAAACAGTTACAAGGTCACTTCAAAACTTGATTTTCGTGCTGACTTGAATTATTCATTCTCATCATCCGGTTCACAAAACTCGTTTCATAAGGTTGTGATGCGCGGCCATTTTTATACCACTAAATTCCAGTTAGAAGACACGTATCACTACTTGAATTGGCCCTCAACCTCTGTCATTCATTTTTTAATGAATAAATAAACAACACAAAACAACAGAAAAGGACTGCTTTATTTTTGCTTTCACGCTCGTTCTCATTTTATCATCAGCAGGTATAGACGCGGAAAAATTTCAGGGAGACACCGGTCAGGAGTCTCGGGACAAAAGCCTGGGCTATTCTACTCACCGTAGAGGACCCTTCATTCTTGAACTAAATTATGTATAAAGAAAACACCATTTGGGTTTAACGAGGCAAAGAGATGAGTGCTGTGCTGCGCTGCCCTTTCTGAAGTGTATAGAAAATCGACAGCGCATGAGTGCCTCGACGCGGGGTTTCTTTGGCGCGGGTCTGAGTTGGCTGCCGTTTTCCAAGTGTCGGAGGCGTCGACGAGGTGAGGGCAGAATGTCGACGGTGTCCTTCCGCGTTGTGTGCATGATGTGTAAAAGACTACATTTTTTAATCCTTTGTGGACTCGATGGATGTGTTGAATAGAATCAAGTATATTTTCTGAGGTGTGTTTATGATGGAGAAGACACATAAATATTTTTTTTCTCTTCCAAAGAAAAGAATTTTTCGATGAATAATCAAAGAACTTGCAAAGGATTTGTGAATGATTTTGACTGCAAGTTTCAATTTCTAAGGCATCATTCTTTGTTGGATGATGAAGCAGAGTGTCTTTATCTCTTTGCAAATTTAACCGTCACATTCTCTTATTATATGCTCTTTTTTGTATATCTGTTAAGAACATATTTTAAATGTCCTTCATATAAATGAATAAATGGATCTAAAGATGATACAGTACAGTATGAGCAAATTAATGTTTTTTGTGAAGATGCCTAATTATGTCTTCTTTTCAAGAGCATACTTTTTAAGGGAATCAATGGTTACAATACATTTCCCATGGATTTGGGAAAATAATTTTAACTTCCAGAGCATCATTCTTTGTTGTGTGATTAAGAAGAGATTAGTCTTCATCTTGTTGTGCATTTAATAGGTGTCCTATGCTTTTATTGTGTATGTGTGTACAGTATAAGAACATATTTTTAATGACCTTCAAATAATTGTTATGAATGAATCTGAGCTAAATTTCTGGAAAATAATGCTGCTGGCAAAGAAGCCACATCATTTTTTGATGAACGAGAAAATCTTTTGACGATCAACAATGAAAAAACTTAAGGAGGAGTTTTGAAGGATTTTGCAATCAATTTCAATTTCTAGTAGGGAATCATTCAGTGTGGCGTTATTTAAGAAGAATCTTCATGTCGTTGTGGTTTAAATAGCTGTCTTCCTTGATGCTTTTCATAGTCTTGTATATATGGATAAAATAATATTTTCTATGACCTTCATACATATGTGGTGAATGAATGTATGGATCATCTCTAAAGTAAGACGCATCGAAGAAGTATAATTATTTTTTTCTGCAAAAGAACGTACTTTTCCAAAGCCTCAATATTTCTGCATTTAAAGGGAATATTCGAATGATTTTAGCTGCAAATTTCAATGTGTAGGGAATTTTATTCTCGGTGATGAAATATGAAAGGTATTCATCTCGTCTCAGATTTAATAACTGTCGTCTTTCCTGCTTTTGCTTAAGAGAGGAGTATACAACTTATCCTCTCGAAGAGCTCAATTTTCGATGGCATCCATATTTTGTGAATTTAAAGAGGATTTTTTGGTACACTTCGACACCAAATATAAATTTCCAAGGCATTATTCCATATGTTGTGTGATCAAGAAAAATAAAGGTTTGCACTGAATATCGTTGGGGATTTAACATCTGTCCTCTCTTTTTATTCCCTTCGGAAGATGATTCTAAATAAGAAAACGCCACATTTATGCCGGTTAA